ATCTAAATTAAAATGTAAATGAATTTTTATAGAAACATAGTACAGCTCTTGGGGCTCAGATGACATGATAATACGTAAGTAGCTTTTTTTTTGGCCTGAATGAAGACTGAGTGTGTGTCTCCCTCATGTTTTTCCTTCCTCCCTTGTTCTTTGGAAGAAGGAAGCGAAACAGATATTAACGCATACGTCTGTATTTGTGCCTGGTAATGTGATAGAATGTTAACACATGCCTCTCATATTAGGTCGACACTCTTAACTACATCTTTTCAGGGTCTCTAGTTTTTCAATGTTTTCAAATTTAAGGCTTTTCTTCAGTCATTTTTTAGAGTAAGATACAGAGAAAAATATCACACCCTTACAGCTAAATTAAGTTATTTCATTAGCTTTATTAGAGATTTTCTGATAAATAGTGATTTAATTAACAAATAAAATGTGTGAGAGTCAATTTTCAGCATAGTTTATCAAGTTCAGGTTTTAAAAAAGATGTAATTAAAAGTGCAGGTCCTAATTTGAGTTAATGACAGAGGCCAGAGTATATTCTTTTTTCATTTACCTATGACTGTGTTGAGCAGATACTTTATACTGGAGGATCCCATGCACAATGACGATGGTGGCTTTGAACAAGATCTTTTAACTAAGATGTTAGCCATTAAGATGATTATGGTATTTTGAGAAGTTACCCCTAAAATTATGACTGGATAACACCCAAAAATTACTCTTTCCAAGGGTTAAGGGTTCAAAGTGCAGTTTTAGCTATTTTATGAAGAGTGAAAAAAAAATGACATGGATTTTTTTTGTTTCATGATGACGGATAAATCATGATGCACGGGTGCGTTCTACTTACCTTAAAATTGAGGGTTGATGAGCTACAATGCTTTTGAATTGTTTGGTTAAAGATATATAAATATATTTATATATATATTGAAATAATGTTTGGTTAAAGATAAATTTGTATGTTTTATCACCACAAGCTTTTACTAGATACTGATAATAAGAGTTTACACACTACCTAGCTTATAAACTTGTCATAACCAAACATATCATTAAATATTCTAAGCTCTTGATGAGCTTCTATCCTTCCTTTTGCCAAAAAATAAGAAGAGCCAAACATCCTCAGAATAATTCAGGTAGGGATCTTTTTCCACTGGGTATTTGTATCAAAATATGGCAATCCAGTTGCCAACATTACTTTGTTCCTCTTTTCAGTTTAGCTTGCTGGTTGGTATTTATACTATTTTATGTAACCTTATGTGGTTGTTTGTGTTTTATTGTGCCAGAGTTTGAGAATAAAGAGGCATGTGAACAAGCATACTTCAAGGTACTTGACCTGGAGTCTCTCTTTTCTTGACTATTCGGTGTTGTGATGTAGGAGTAGTGGTAGAACCACAATTATCGTACAATTTAGAAAAATAGAGAGAAAATATGGAGAAGGGAATAGAAGCCTAGATAGATAGAGGGAAATAGAGGATAAAGGTGAAGACTTAGAGGGAGAATAGAAGATATTAGGCATGCATGAAGAGCAAGAGATCCTAACTAAACAAGAAATAATTAACCTATACCATCAGTAAGCCTATAGATACTCGTTTGTAAATATACTACATAAACATTACAATTACATAAATATATCTTATTATTGGAATGCGTCCACCTTAGGATCTTCCTCTTCTGCTTTACTGTGTTTTAAACATGCATGACCCTTTGTTTTTGCTCCATATACCTGGGCTATTAGGAGTTTTGTTTCTCTTGATCTTGCATAGTTACTGACACTCTAATACGACCAACAATAAGATATCTACCATGGGGAACATACTTGAGGGCCTTGAACAAGTATCCACTTTACTACTACTGAAAAGCAGTATTGCTTACAACTCTGATCAAATAAGTAAATAAATTTTAATAAATGATCTCTTTATTGCCGCATAAGATGAAAGCAAATCTGATATGGACGGAGGAAATGGTCAAGTAACCAGTAGACATGCATCTCATCCTTCCACTTTAGTGAAAATTATGCACTGGTCCAGGGCCCATATCTGCATGTCCTCTACACTGGCACCCTGAAGATTTTGGAGTAGCAATAATTTTAAACAAAGCCCAAGCTGGCACTGTGGACCACATAATTTTTTGTTTATTTATACCTTTCTTGTGTCCCTAGATTTATATTTATTATGAAGTGTAATTAGTATGGCATTCTTGATTTCAGCATTTGTTTTTGAAAGTGGATGCTTTGATACTCGCAGTCCTCCTACAGTTTCTTATCTTGGGTTCCGATTCCTTATAAATGATGTCAGTTCTTAGGAATGTGGCTTGCATGGTGCTTAGCATTATTCGGAATTTTTTGAAAATGTTGATCATCTTATAAACAAATAGGCTTATAAAAAATTTCCAGCTCATGTAAACAGCCAAATATGCTCCTTTTGTCTCATTTAATAACAAATAAGCTATTTCATTTGTTTATATTGAGAGTTGGCAGAAAAATTTTCTTCTCTTGGTTGACCTAATTTTTGTGGCAGATGGATAATGCTTTAATTGATGATAGAAAGGATACATGTGGATTTCAGTCAAAGTGTTGCAAAACTTTGGTCCCAGTATAGGCGCAAAGATAGCCAAATGGGGAGAGGTATGTATGCAACCACTTGATATGAGGCACAGTTTGCATTTCTTTTTCTGGTTTATTGCAAGTGGGGAATTTTTTATTTGAAGTAACTCTTGTGTCATGTCATTTTGCTGCATTCGTGATGGTTACTATTAGTTTCATGGTTTTCTTTCCTCTTTCATGTGTTAGGTCTTCTTCCTGCAAATTTTTCTGTTGTTGAATGTTGCCTTTGGTTTATTCTTTGTGTAATAACCAAGTAGGTAGAGGTAATGTACACTACCAGTTTATAAGGCGTTGCCTGAACTTGTTTTTCTAGTTTTTATAGGAATTGAGAAGTTTTTTTTGTGGTACTTGTGTCATGTGATTTTGTACGTTCTTGATAACCTGCTGTTTGTTTCTAGGTTTTCTTTTACCCTTTTATCCATCTGGTTTTCTTCCGGTAAGTTTACCGTTATTGGATTTTGCCTCCGGTTTACTCTATTATGCGTGTGTTTTTATTGTTTTCTCTTAAAAAATGCCATTGTGCTTTCTTCACTAGTTTTGAGAGAGGAGGCACTTTAACCTCCAGCTTCATGCAACTTTGGATGAAAATATGGTTAGCCAATCTTCAGATGTGTTGCAAATTTTGGTTTTTTCTTTTTTCAGCAAAGTGCAAGCTGTGGTTGTCAGGAGTTGACCTTGAATCTTCGTTATGGAGAGGCCATGATATGACTATTAGGAGGACTTAGTCATTTAGTTTGGTTTTTTTTTAGTTTTACTAATGTTTCTGTTTAATAGGCTAGGATTTACAGTAACTATGAGTATGGCCTTTCCCTATGTTACCTTGGTTTTGGTTTTAGGCGGTTTGGGTCTGGCATTATGCCCTGAATTCCTCAGCAAATGGCCAATGACTAATGGCAAATGGCAAAGCATAAAATGATATTAATGGACTAGGTTTACCTTTGAAGATGTGCATGAACTAAATATTGTAAAGGAAGAAAATTAGAATCAACTACTATTTTTAAGTTTGTTCCACGATATGGTTTTATGCAACTAAGAAAATCGCAACTTGAGGGCTTTCCCTCCAATCTAGCTCATTTTAAAGCATTTATGCAAGTCAAAAACTTCTTAAAAGGAAAGGAGGAGCAATAGGTTCAGAGGGATAAGGGTGTTTGAATGTGGAAGTAGCTATCTACCTGGTTCATGAAAACATCTTATAGTTTTAATTTTTGCACACATTTGTGTATAAGAATGTAAGAACATATGGAGTGAAAAATGAGAACAATATTTAGGAGATGAATATATATACATATACATGTATATATATCATGAGTTCGAAAATACTTTTAAGTATTTTCTAGAAAAGTATGACGTCATTTCATAAATGAGAATACTTTCTTGTTTTTCATTTTCAAATTTTATATATTTTACATATAAAAATAGGTATCATGGTATGTCTATGTTGCACTCAGGAAAAAATAAACTTTAATGTAAAAAAAATGTTTTGTTCTTTTGAACATTTTCATTTTAAATTACTATACATTTATCTCAAAAAAAATGGCGAATTTTTTGGGTACTAATGGAGCCTGGTCCTCTTTGCAGTGTTTTATTCTGCAATATGAAGCTAACTTGGGTTTTTCCTTTCTAATTTTCTTTTAGGAGGAGGTTGCTTCAAATGTGGCTCTCTTGATCATATTGCTAAAGACTGTGCTGGCAGTTCTGCTACTAACCAACATCCTAAATACATCCTAAAAGAAGACAACAGACAGCACGGTGGAGATAACTATGAAATGGTGTTTGACGAGGATGCCTCTGGAAGTCCCAAGCGAGAGAAGAGACGTAGGGACCATGATCAAGATGAGAGATTAGAAAAACAAAAAACTAGCAGGCGGGTTCCCCATGACCTGCAAGATGGGGATCGGCAAAAGAAATATTCAACTGATAGGCACAGACAGAAGGATGAACGGAGCTCAGAAGATGGGATGCATCGAGACAGGAGAGCAAGTCAGTCTGGTGGTAACAGAAGAGACATGGACTTTCTAGAAGAGAGCGGGGACGGGAAGAAGCCTATGGAGAGACACAGAGAAAGAGATGAAAACAGGAGAGATGAGCGGGATTATAGAAGACAAACTGGTTATATGGATGGTCATAGAGATGGGAGGGACAACGGAGAGTATAGAAAGCGCAGTGTAGATAACCGTAAAGAACGCGGAGATGGAGGAGATTACAGAAAAAGAGATGTGGATAATGATCATCATGTGGGAAGGGATGATGGTGACCGTAGTAGGAGAGGTGCTGACACTGGTAGCCAAGGGGACAGGAGAGATGACAGAGATTATGGGAAGAGAAACGCTGATGGCAACAGGGAAGAGTTGAGAAATGGAGATAGCTATAGGAAAAGTAGTGCAGTAGATGAACGTTATAAAGGAAGGAAGGAGGAGCGAGAACCTAGACATCATAGTAGAACCAAAGATTATGATAACAAAGGAAGGAGGGAAGAGAGAGAACCGAGACATCGAAGTGACAGAGGGTGATTGGTCCTTTTAAGATGCGTGTTATCCTTTTCGGGGGCCATTTTCTCTCCTGCCTAAAAGATGATCATGCCTAAGATTATTACACAGCTGAATTGGGATGTCATGCGGTTATTTTTTCGAAATGTGGATGGGTTCGTATGATGGAATTCTTTTATTACATGCATAATG